GTGTGTGTATATGTATTTATTTATTACAAACTTTTTTACATTTATATGAGTTTTAAACTCTTCTCATCCAGAGTTCATGTTCTGAATCTTGACATTTTATCTATTGTATTTTATATCTTGTCTTTTTTCTGATGATCGTGTCTTTCGTCTGAATTCCAGGACTCCGGAAAGTCTTCAGGATCAGAAAACGATGATGGCAAGCATGTATGAACTAATCCAAAACTTGCTTATTTGAATCTAACCCCCCCTCGTGTGAGTTCCCAAACATTATGATGGGATTATTTTCTCTGAAATATTGAGGAAATTCAGTTATCCTTACTGACGTCTACAGTGGCTTATATCACACCAACAGATGAGTTTGTTCATTAACCTGAGATGTTTGTATATTTCTCTCACAGCAGTTAAACTGAACCTCTCTTATTCTTATATTCCTCTTCAGAAGAAAGCAAAAACCGATGATAAGGATGGAGAAAACACCTCGCTGAAGACTGAAGGAGAGTCAGGGGGTTTCGGCACGACCGATTACAGTTGTAGAACTGATGGCTCTCAGATTTCTTCATCTCTACTTTACTCCCACCTGCCTTCTGAAACCCTGAGCCGAGCGGAGAGCAGCAGCTCCTCCCGCAGGCCTCTGACCGCCTTAGAGAGCCTGATGGGTCATCCTCAGAGAAACACACTGGACAGGGACAGAGTAATGACCAGCAGATACACCTCACATTCCACACCATAAGAAACACTTACACAAATGATTTTTTGGATTAGAGTGCTGCAGGGATGACTTACTTTTGTAGGCTGAAACGGGTTCCCTTGACAAAAACGCAATAGAAAATATTGCAGAAAATAAGCTCTGTGCCCAACTAGAGTTTATGATTCTTACATGAAAACCTTTACAGATGAACACGTGTTTTATGAATTTTAAAGCTTAATTACAACTAAACGTTGGCTATAAATGAACTACAACATCAACACCGTCACCATTAAGCTTCTGACAACTCTTTCAGTCTTTATTTAAAAATATTTTCCCTGAAAGTTTGAGTGAGAATAGTTTGCAAGAGCACGATTATAAACTGTAAAGTCGTGAAAGCCTGTTTCAACCACGGAATAAAAAAAATAAAGGTAATTGCAACTTTTTATCTCACAATTCTGAGTTTTTTTTTTTGTTGAGATAATTCTGCAAGAAGAAACTCAGAATTGCGAGGAATAAAAGTCTGAATTGCGAGAAAAATGTCAGAATTGAGAGAAAAAATTTTAATTGAGAGAAAACCAAGAATTCTGCGAAATAGTCAGAATTGTAAATTCAAATAAAAAAGTCAGAATTGTGAGAAAATAGTCAGAATTGCGAGATAAAAACTCAAAATTGTGAGAAAATAGTCAGAATTGCGAGATAAAAACTCAAAATTGAGAGAAAACTGTCAGAATTGCCAGAAAAAGTGAATTTTGAGGGACAAAAATCTGAATTGAGAGATAACTAAGAATTTTGAGAAATTGTCAGAATTGAGAGAAAAACGTCTGTTTTAAAAACATATATATATATATATATATATCATCCTAAATATACATGTTTATGAGGTTGGTTGCATATTAATTTAACCCTATAAAGCCTTTAACCCTATAAAATGTTTGTTTGTACTTTTTGTGTAAAGGTCAATAAAATGTTCCATGTCAAATACTGTAATGAATCTTTTAGATATCAGGCTTTATAGGGTTAATTTTAGTTTTTTTTTCTGCAATCATTTTACTTTTTCCTGCAATTTTTGCTTGAATAAGACTCAATATTTTAAACCTTAGATATTTTTTGTATTACATGTTTTATTAATCATTTAACCCACATTAGTTTTTTCTTTGTTGTTTACTTAATAATCACTGCAATTATCAATCATTCATGTTTTTATGCCAATGCAGTTCATCTGAAAGTGATTCACAGGTGTGCTGGAATAATCAGTACCTGAGAGCGTTTATGGAGCAAATGACGTGCATGAAAACCACACCTAGATACTTTCCTGAAGCGCCTCGGGCGGGGGCTGTTTTTAGAGATGTTCATTTACTTCCTCTCAGGGAGATCTTTCTGGAGGATTCTGGAAACACAAAATGACACTAAAATATCTTCCAATAAATAAAATCAGGGGTATGTGTGTTTATTTCAGCAGGGTCCACTTGTCTTATTGAACATTTAAGCATTTGGCAGACACTTTTATCCACAGTGACTTACAATGCATTCATTTTATAAACTCAATATTTATCACATTAATCCCACATAAGTACATGAAACTGAAACAGCTAAAGATCATTTATAATGTTAAATGAGTAGTTCCAGTATGTTTCACTGGAGAAATCAATATTATGGATAGAGGACCTGTATTTTAGCTGGAAGCAATGGTTTGAAGTTAAAAAAGCTCACCAGTGGATGCTCTGCAGTGAATGGGTGCCGTCAGAATGAGAGTCCAAACAGCTGATAAAAACATCACAATAATCCACAGCACTCCAGTCCATCAGTGAACATCTGGAGAAGACAAAAGCTGAAACAAATCCAGCATTAAGATGTTTTTAACTTCAAACCGTTGCTTATGACTAAAATATGAGTCCAATTACATGAATAAATTAATGTAAAATAGCATTGCATAGTCTTCACTGCACAAATTAAATTTAGACTAATCCTTGTTAAAACTACAAAGGAGCAGTGAGTCATTTCCTTTTTCTTGGATTAACATTAAGGACGCCGACAGCAGCTAGTAAATTAGGTGCGGTCCCTTTAAGACACACTTCATGGATCCAATATAATGATGAACATCTTTCTCAACTATTTATGTTCACTTAAAACATAACCGATATTTTTCGAGGATACTCACCAAGACGGGTATTTTGACTTAATTTAGTATGTATTTGTCCATTAAAGCACAAGACGACGCAAAAAAGAACTCAATTCAGTACTGGCGTGCTGTTTTTGTGTGCATACTGTGCACAGAGAGCCTCGTCTCTGACAACAACCGGAGCTTGCTCATGAACGGACAAATACGTCTTACCAATTTGAACATTCAAGTGATTTTAATCCTTTAAAGAGTGAGCAACAAGATGAAAGAATTGAATTCAGTGTTCACATGCTGTGTTCTGAATTGAGTTCTTTCACGGCCTCTTGAGCTTGAATGCTTTAAAATGTTTAAAGGTTTAAAAACAAATGCAAATGACGCGCTGTCTTTCACGCTGACCACGGTTCCCGTTACAGCCGTGGGCCCCTATAATCATCACCACCTATCTCCCTACTAGCAACGGCCCTGAGTGATGCAATGCTACATTTCTCCAAATCTGATGAAGAAACAAACTCATCTACTTCTTGGATGGACATTGTCCACAAATTTTCATTTTTGGGTGAACTGTTCCTTTAAAGGCTGCATCTAGATAAATCACTGTACCAACACAACTCTGGGAACCACAGCCTGTAGTGAGTCACAGGTCAAGAATGATCAGAGATACACCTGCGTTTGGGCAAAACAGCTCATCATTTTGAGCGTTTTAACAAAAGCATTGTACTAAAGCAGGACCACCCATAGGAGACACACACAAAACTCTCCAAACTGACGGGAGAAGACCAGACTGAGCTGGTGGGGGAAGTGGTTAAACATAAACTGGTTTTGTTGGTTAATCCTGTTTGTGTCAAAACCTATTTTAATTTTTTTTTTTAAGTAATTAGGTCATTGTTCACATTAACATTAGTGCTAGTAATAGTTTGGAAAATTTAGTCAATACTAAATGTGTATGTGTGTGTGTGTGTGTGTGCGCGCATACATTTTGATATTTTAATTGTAATTTATCTCACAGCTCTGACTTCCCTTAAGAAACAAAAATATATGGGAATGAACTGCAAAATATAATGTGGTATATTACATAATGCATTTCCATGTATGGGGAACCTATAGTGCTTATATTTGTCAATGTACTGCAATATATGGCTATTTATTCATGCATATAAAAAATATTTAGAAATGAAGACAAAAATAGCATTACATGTAATGTTCATAAGGTTTTATTATCCTTTATTGTGCACATACTGTATATTGCACATGGTCCCATATAAATGTGAATGTATGTACAAACATATGTTCACAGAATGAGTTACAGCATAGTTCTAGCTCCCAGCATGCTTTGCTTCTGACTGATAAAAGAGAGTAAATCTTAAAGTGAAGTGTTATTTCATGAATTTGGCTCAATATGAATATAGGGGGAGATCTGTCAGTGTTTAATGTTGTATTATTTTGGAATTTAAAAGGGTTTCTGGTTTGTATGTCTGTGTTTTTGGGGTTACCATTGTGCTGAAGAGTATAGAGCCTGTCACATGTACATGTTACTGAATATAAAATTACATATATTATGATATACAGTTGTCACAATTGCAAGGTGTAAAGTCAGAATTGTAAGATGTAAACTTGCAAGAAAAAAAATGTCAGAATTAATGTCAGTTCAGATCTCGCAACAGCTTATTTATTCCAATAAGGAGGGACCTAAGGAGATGTTGTTCTATTTTTAGTCAGATAACTTTAAGTTGTTAAATCTGTAAAACACTCACACTTGGGACTACTGGTTGATTAATTAATATTCATGAACCAAGACTTCGCTAATTCTAATGCATACTTAGCGTTGTCTGTCTTTCAGCCAATCAACTTGGGCGAACGTAACAGCACGTAAATGAATATTAATGAGCCAAGTCCTGCCACACTCATCAGCTGCATGACGCTCTGGGTGGATCCACCTCCAGAAACACTGATGCTGATGATAAATACTGCTGTCATCTCGATCAGAGCACATTCACTGCTTCATCATGGACATCGATCTGTGCTCAGGTAAACAGATACAGAGCTTATCAATCAGAAAACACACATCGGTTGATTTCTAAGAGAAACTAACAGATGTATTCCTGTTTTTGAGCAGCTGCTGAGGGTGATGAGGTGAAGAAGCAGGAGGGCAACGAGGTGGAGTCTGGAAAAAAGGATGAAGATAAAGACAAAGGTCAAGAAGATAAAGATAAAGAGTGCAAGGACAAAGATAGTGACAAGGCGAAGGTAAGAATATTTAATAATCATGATAGTCAATGAAAGTCTAAATGACAAAATTACTTGTTTTAGAAACATCAGCATGTGTGGCATATCATAATGGCATTTTCAGTTCAATGTTATATTGATATTTATACTAAAGACTTGTCAATTCTATACACATAAAGATGCAAATTATTGACAGGGATGAAAAGTATCGGATTTGCATATAGAACAGGGTTATTATTGTTAACTAAAAACTGAAACTAAAACTGAAATAAAGAAAATGAATGACAAAACCACACATCAAAATGACTAAAACTTTCAAATCTACAACTCTACAAACAAACTAACAAAATAAATATATTAATAAAAGCTATAATAGTATCTCCGTGATTCCTATTCAATCAAAATGTTTGCGTTGATCTTTACTTTTTTAACCCCTTCCACTCCAAACACTTTTCATTTAAAGCCACTTTTCGGTCTCCTGATGTGTACATAATCAGATTACAGAAGTAAAATGGGTTGCGAATGGTGTTTAGTGTTGAGTTCGACCCGGAAGACTCCTTTCAAGAGCTCAGAAATGTCGTTTAGCCCTCGAGGGTTAATAATGATGTCAAATGAGAGATGTTACTACATGCCGGTGTATAGAATGTGATGCATGGTACTGTTTTATGAATGCTTTTTCAGAGTGATTGCAAAGAAAAGAAAAAAGACAAAGAGTGCAAAGACAAAGATAAGGACAAGTGCAAAGACAAGGACAAGAAGAAGAATAAAGAGCACAAAAAGGGGCACGGACACAGTCACGGACGTGGACGCGGACACAGATCATCCTCTTCATCCGATGACGAGGTAACTTTGTGCTTTTGCTATGAATTTAGAGTCACTTAATAAAAACAAGCCTGTTGTAATTCATCATTAACTGATTCTGAAGGTTTTGCGGGACACAGAAGGAGATCTTAAGCATATCGACTTCTTTTATGGTGATTTTTGGTCTTTTTGATGCAGTTTGGTGTCATTAGTTCATTTATGAGCAGTCAAAGTTTGTGTTAAGAGCTGGTGGTGTTTTTTTAAATACCTCTAAGGACGTGATAGTTGTGTATCGCAAAACCTGCTGATCTTCAGGTGTG